AATAGTCAATCACTGTACCGGGTGACCTTGTTACTTGGTTGTATTGTACCAAGAAGGCTACAACCCTGTAACAATATTAATAATCAATAAAAAAATCAAGACAAGACCTCATTTTTTTTAAAAAAAAAGAAAAAAAAATAAAAATAAAAATATAATACAAAAATGTAAATATAATACAAAAAAATTAAAAAATAAAAAAAAATTATAAAAAAACTCACTTTGCTGATCACTTGTATACAAAATTGTAAAAAAACATTTTAGAAGTTTACTAAAAAATAACTATCTAAACTAACTTTATAGGTTTAAAAAAAAAAGATAGAGCTAATAAAAAGAGTATAACAAGAGCAAAAAAAGAAAATTTGAATAATATAGTAAAAAAATAGAAAGAAAAATACTTTGATTAATACTTTAAAAAATAAAATTTGGAAAATTTACTGTAATCTGAAAATGTAGATTTGTAGATTATATCAACATGTGAACAGACAAACAAAACAAACATGTATTAACAGATATGCAAATAAGTCCAATTTGAATAGTGATAAACATAAGGCATAAAAAATTTTAAAACAACAAGTAACAAACAGGGATTACTAATAATTAGACTAAATATAAGTAGTATACAAAATCAAAAAGAAAGTCTAATGTTAATTTATATTAAGAGAGCATATTAGGCAGCAAATAGCATACACATCAAAATGTTTTTCAACTAAATAAGTAAAATTTTTGCAACACAGGTAAAGAAGTAAAATTATTACTATGCTAACAGAACAAGACCTAGTAAAGGTTGCTTTGCTATATATAACTAGAGAAATAATTAAGAAAGCAGAAGAAAAACAATCAGAAAAGAAGATCAATATCATAAAACAAAACAAAAATATTATAATAAAAGAATCTATAATAGGATAGATGCAAGACAAAAGAAAAAAGATACAGTAACAATCAACTAAAGCAAACAGAAATCAAGAAGAATTATACAAAGTAATGCAAAAAAGAAGACAGAAAATAAAAAAGCAGTTAAAAAGAAATTGCAAGACAATACTGAAAGCTTACAAAAGAAAGTAAGTATAAAGATAAGTCTAATTAACAAAAACCAAGAAAGAAAAGATTTGTTTATCCAGAAAAGAAATGCAGAAGAATAAAAAAAGAGAAAAAACAAGAATATATCAAAACAGAAATCAAAAGTGAAATTGATATAATTAAAGAATCTCTAGAAAAGAGCATATAGGCTTCAAGTAAGAGAAACTGTAACCAAAACAACAGTTTGTTTGCTAATATATCAGCACACAATGTATCTAGAAAAACAAAAAAAGAGTATATAAAATTTATCAGATAGTCATTAAGAAACAACATACATGTTAAAGATATTAAAGAAATCTTTAAAAGAAAAAAACTTATAAATAGAAGTAGACTTCAATTGCAAATATGGCAAAAGTGAAGCAATATAAAGAATTAGCAGAAAAGAGAATGCCTGGTACAAAATAATATCAGAAAAAAAGAAAAAAAAAACAAGAAAAAAAGTATAGAAAATTTGACAAAAAAGAGCAGCAAAAAAGAAATAACATGTCAAGAATAGAAATGAAGAGGCAAGAATAAAAGAAAAATAAAGCAAAAGGTATATAAAAATCAATATGAAACAGATGAAGGGTATAAAAATGAAAACTATCTAATAATATAGAATCTACCAACAAATATAAATAAAAAAGATCTAAAATATATTTGTAAAAGATTTAAGAAAGATTAAATAGTAGAAATTAAAAGATTTAAATACAAAGCTTTAGCAGTAGTGCAAATAGAAAAACCAAATAAAAGAAATATTTAATAGGCTATACCAGTTAATAATAACAAACTAATATAAGTAACAATAGAAAAAAAAACTATAAGGCAAGAGAAAACCAAAGAAGATATACAGCAAAATTAACAAAACTATCTAGAAATGTCTTAAAAGTCTTACTTCTATGAAGTTTAAAAAGTAAAAGAATGAAGTCAGTTTATATTTCACCAAATAAAAATGAAAACCAAAAAAAAAACTGCTATAATAATGTTTATAATATAAAGACAGCTTAGTCAAAACCAATTATGTTTAATAACTTTTGACTGTATTGGATAAATAGAAGAAAAAAGAAATAAGAAAAAGAGAAAGCCTAAAAGAAGAAAGAAACAAAAGCTAAAACAGATTTAGTCAAACCTCAGATACAAAAGTAAATAGAAACAGAGAGCAAAAGCAGAAAAATAGAACACAAATGAATAAAACTAGAAAAGAAAAAAACTCTAAAACTACAAATTGAAAAAAGAAGAAAGAAGTGATACTCAAAACCAAAATTTAGAAGACCAAACAAAACATATACAAAGGAAAAATACATGTGTAGAAGACATATTAGGTCAAATTTGTGAAAGATTAGAAAAATTAGAAAAGGCAATAAAGATGACAAAGGAGAGCCTAGCCAATTGCTTCTAAAAATGCTTTAGTTAAAGCAATAAAAATAGACAAGAAGCTGAAGAAATTTCTGTAAAAAGAAAGAGAAGTATTTAAAGATAGAACATTACCTCTTTGTTTAAAAAAAAAAACAGAAAAAAAAACCAATAGAAACAAAACAAAATCAATTAAAAGATAAATAATAAAAAAAAAGAAAATAAAGATAGCATGCTATAAAATTAATAGGTTAAAAACTAAAGATTGAAAGCTTGAAAACCTGCTTAGCTAGGCAAAAAAAAAAAGAAGTTGCAATACTAAGAATTATAAAAACAAATCTTGCAAAAAAAGAAAGGAAATTCCTAATTATAAGGCAACTAAAAGATATATTAGGTATTGGTACAGTGTAGCAGAAGACAAAAAAAAGATCAGATATAGGGATTTTGGTAGAAAAATATTAGAAAACCATGTGAGTACAGTTAAGATAATAAATGAATACATAATAGATATTATATTATATGTATAAATAATCTTTTTACTAGGGGTTATTAGTATCCTCCCCTTTGTATCACATGTATAAATAGTTACACGGATATATTATAACAATGACAGGGTAATTACAGTAACACTTTAACTGATATAAAGAGGGATCAGTAAATAAATAAATACAGTGATTGATCATTAAATAATTGAACTTCTACTTACATCATGCAAGGTAAACAAATACCTAAAAGAAAAAAGTAAATACGGGAAAATAAACGAATGCGGGAAAGAAACAGCAAGCGAAAAAAGTAAACGCAGAAACAAGAACTTAGCCAAACAAGTGAGTATATATTTAGCTAAAGATATAGTTAGCATGACGTTAATATAATTCACATGTAATGCGTAAAATTTTTTTTAATTTTTCTATTTCTTTAGACTTTTCGCATCTTTCCTTGTGCTTCTTCATGTTTACAAACTTATTAGCCTTGGTATATATTTTTTTACAAACTTATTAGCTTGACATGTATTTTTCTGAACAACTTTTTATTAAGTCTCTGTTTTTTTTATTTAGGTTTAATGTGTTTTTTCGTTTATTTTTTTTAAAACTTACCAGTTAACTTTACAATAAAATTTTTTTTCGCTTGTTTCATTCTAAATTTTTTTTTTTACTAACCGTTCCTTTTTTTTCCTTTTTTTTTAGATGTCTGAAATTCAAAGTTCTCAAAGCTCTAAAGAGTATCATATGAATTACAAAATTTATTCTCACTTTGATCCTGAAAGTGATATTGATCTTGCTTTACCTTCTGACAAATATGTTATCAGCAACTTACCTATAATTGACAATACTAATAAAACTGACGTGTTCAAAGATGGTGATTCTGAAAATGAGCTTGAAGATAGTCTCCTAAAAGAGATATATATGGATCAGACTTTCACTTCATTTGAAGTACTTGAGCATTGTCTAAAACGTTATTCGATTCGGATTGGTTTTGAAACTAAGATAGTGCGAGTTGAAAAAGAAAATGACATTTGTGTACGAAAAACATATAAATGTTGACATAGAGGTAAATACTTGCCTAAGAAGGTGTTGGACCTTACAAAAAATCAAGAGCAGGAATCGGCTTGTGTAGATTGCAGCTTTGTATTAAATGCATCCTATCAGAAACGCTCAAATCTAGTCTTTGTCAACAAATTTATTGAGAAACACAAACATACTTTAAATAATAGCAAATTACTTCAACAATTCTCTCTATCATTATAAAAAATACCTACACAAATAAGGGATGAGGTTCAGTTTTATGTCCAGAAATGCCAGTTGGTTAAGAAATAAATTTCCCGATCAAAAAATTTACAATTAAGACCTTTATAACATGATAAGCAAGTTTAGAACTGATGCCCAAACCAAAAATGATGCCATAACCTTATACAAATATCTTCTAAAGCTACAACAAGACAACCCTAATTGGTATTTCAAGATCGACTTCAAGGGTATAGATAATAGGCTTTCTAAGGTCTTTTGGATGTCACCTGAACAAAAAAGTCTTTGGGCTCGATTCCATGATGTTGTTATTAATGACAACACATGTAAAACTAACAAATATATGATGCCTTTAAGCATCTTCATAGTAATCGATTCAAATCAACGAAGCCACATTGTAGTGACAGCTGTAGTGTGTGACAAGACCATACCAACATACGAATGGATTTTAGAACAGACAAAATTAGCTACTGGCAATGTTCAACCAATGACTATTTTTACAGATGCAGACCCAGCTATACAGGTAGCTTTATCTAATGAATATCCTAGTACTATCATTCGACATTGTGCATTCCACATTCAGAAAAAATTGGTCAAAAAAGTTAAGAGAAGGTTTTTTTCTTTTTTTTTTATTCTATAACATTTTTTTTTTGTTTTTTGAAAACCCTCATAAAGAGGAATGCCAGAAGGCATAGCTATTTTATAACATTTAATAATTCAAAACTTTTTCATTATTACTAATAAGGCTTCACAATAAATGGGAAGTGTTTATTTCTGAATTTTATGCACTTTGAAATTCACTAGTAATAGCTGATTTCGATCATTGTTGGATGGAGCTAATGAATAAATACCCTGAGATTCAAGGATACTGTGATCGAGTATTATATCCAACCAAAGAGTGCTGGGCATATGCATTTACAAAATGGAAGTTCTCAGCTAATACACATTCAACACAGCAGATCGAAAGTATAAACCGTGTTATAAAATTAGAGGCAAATTCTGAAAATTTCTTATGTCAGCTTCAAGCTGGAATTGAATTACAGTTAAAAGATGAAGCAAAATATGCAAGTCTACAGGAATTTCGAATATGAACCCAACAAGAGGTCTTCCTCATGTTTCCAATACAATTTTTAAAAGCATTGATGACATGTGTAAGAAATACCTTACACCAAATTCATTAGCTTTACAGTGCAAGCAAATGCTGGAAAGTCTTTTATACAGAGTTTTATTACATTCTAATAAACTTAACAATGATATGAATCAGGCAAGTGCTTCTATTATATTTCTAATTTTACATATTTGTTACTTGATAAAGATGCACTTTGTTATCTGCTTTTGGCCCAAATTAACAATTTGGGCCAAAAACTGATAATGGATCACATCTTTAATTACTTGTTATATTATTACTGCAGATCATATGCAATATTTGATTAGGAATCAAACTATAACATAGGATTTATAGAAGATGATTATGAGGAGCCATAGGTATTATTAGATATGGCTTTAGAGGATTGTGCTGGAAGTAATGTCAATGAAATATGGGAGGTTTAACATATTCAAAGCACAATGAATTATTCACAATTTATTTTATTACTTGATGATGGTACACACTATTGCACATGTCTCTATATAGTCTATGCTGGATTTGTATGTTGGCATTTTTTTGCTGTGATGATTCAGTCCAAAAAAGCATTCTTCAATATAAGGTTGATACCTTCACATTGGTTCTCTGAAGAAGGTCTTACAATGTTTGATAATGATCAAGAATCTTTGATTCAGATAATACAAAACAAAAATAAACTACCTACTGGAACATTTCAGATATTAGAAAGGATTCGCGGTCAAGAAGTTAATAGTAGAGTTGCTGTGGAATTAGAATCGAAAAAAGTTTCTTATGGTCATGGTTTGGGGCTTTGTAAAAAGGCTCTCAACATAGCAATTACGAATGATTCTAATAAGGCTTTGGAAAATCTCTTGCAATGATTTATTGATAAACAGATTTTATTACAATGTCAAAACACATATGAACCATCTGTGCAAGAATTAGATCAAAGGACCAATGATCTTAAAATTTCAGACCCACTTCAACATAAGGGTAAGGGCCGTCCTGCAAACAAAAGATATTTATCTGCTAATGAGAATCATGATATCAAGAACATTGGCTCAAACTATCAAGATGATGAAACATTAGAATCAGGATCAATAAAAAAAAACAAGTAGCAATGTGCTATGTGTAAGTCATGATATCATGATTCTCGAAATTGTCCTTTAAAAAAAATGACCGAATAAGGTCAAGCATACGTACTAGGCAGAGTAGTGGGCATTACAATTTGCTATTTGATGTACAGGGGGGTAGCATATTATTGTGAACACTTTTTGAAAATTTATATTGAACTAAATAAACAAGAAATAAAGCTAAAAATTAT